CTGTCCCCGTTTCTGCCGCTGCCACAGCTGCGGCGGAGGCGCGGGGACCGCAGTGCGCGCGGCGCCCGCCCGCGCCCGCAGCGCCACCACCCGTCTGAGAACCCGCTCGGGGTCCGCGGGGCGGAGCCAGCCTGCCAGCCGCCCCTCCGTCCACCTCGGCCTTGTGCCCGCTCCTCGGGGACCCCCGCGTCGCCCCTCACCTCTCCCCACCTGGCTGACTTGGGGTCTGGTCACACGGCCCCCCGCCCCCTTTCTGGAAGAGAAACCTGGTTTTCTTCCCAAGGCTGCACAATGCCGGAAGGTGGGGGAGACAGGAGCAGAGAGATGCTCCCAGCAACGCTGGGCCCCAAGGACCCGCCTCAGGGGTCGGCTTGGTCGTGGGCGACCCTCCCCCGCTCTGTCCTCCCAGAGCTGGCTTCTGCCTGCCCTTCCACTCCTCCCCCTCAGGAAACGCCCAGAGTCTGGCTCCCAGCGTCCCCCAGCTGTGCCCAGTGCCTGCAGGGTCACGGGCTGTGCCGGCGGGATGAGCAGGGGGTGGCAAGCTCCTATCAAGAGTGGGCCAGGGAGGAGGGACCAGAGGCCAGAGAAGGCTCCAAGGATGCCTGGACAGACAGGGTGGACAGGTCAGGCAGCTGCGGGCAGGTGGAGAGGCACAGGCAGGACACATGCCTCGGCAGGGTGGGGTGGCCCTCCTGGCATCCCACCAGGTCAGCATGTGCCCTGGTGTCACAGCCGTGGGCTGGCATGACCCCATCCGGCAGAGCACCATTCCTTTCTGGTGCCCTGTCATGCCAGGTGTCCTGCACCCCAGCACACGCCCTCTGCCTGTGAGGAGCCCTCAAGTGAGGATGGGGGACAGAGGACCTGCTGGTAATTCCAGGGCGGGGAGGAGGCTGGGGGCCCCCAGAAGCCGTGCCTCCCCTGCCAGACTGCCATGTGGCATGCTGTACTCTTGCGACCCGCCCTGGGCCTGGTGCTTGATCCTGGGCAGCCCCTCTCATCTGCACAGGGCGGACTGCCCCAAACACAGGCAGAGGGGACTCGGGGAGCCTGCATGCCAGGCGCAGTGGAGGAGCACCCTTGGGCCACTGGGCCTGGCTTTGCTGCTCTGGGTGACCTCGGGCTGGTACCTAGGCCTTAGTCCCCTCAGCTATTCAGTGCCTGCAGGTGAGCAGGTGTGCGACGAGAGGGACAGCGAGGGCCGCAGTACGGCCGGCCGTGGCAGATGGAGGGGCACCCGAGGCAGCCCGGGCCGGGGAGGGCTGGGCGCCAGCCCTGGCCGCCTGCTCTGCTCTGCTCACGGCGTGGGCGCGCACCCGGGGCGCACTAGCCATCCGGACGCAGGCCCCGCCCCCGGCTCCCCTGGTCGCCAGATCCGGCCTCGGCTCCGAAAATGGGGCTATCGGAAGCCAACCCACCCCGAGCCGGGTCTTTTGGGAAACCTTGGAGCGCAGAGGCTTCTGGGGAAGAAAGCTTCCGCCGCCCGCCCCCAGACCTTATGTGCGCATGCGTCTCGTTCCACTCGCAGCAAGGGGCGGAGCTTGTAGGGGCTAGGGGCGGTGCTTCGGGGGCCTGCGCCATGGGTCCTCGCCGCTGGGCTCTGGCCCCGAAGTCCGGTGCCGCTGCCTCCAGCCCGCGATGCCCACGTCCGGTGTCCCTACCAGTCCGACATGTCCCACCCAGGCCTCTCGGTCGCCTCGGCCTCCAGACCACGTCTGGGTTGACCCCCGCGCCTCCTGAGGCCTCCCGGGCGCAGTGGGCTGGGGCAGTGGTCCCCCGCGCCATGGCCAGACCCGCGGGCTTTCATGTCGTCCCTTCGCAGCGGCCCTGGGTCGGGGTGACAGGGACAAGACGGGAGGGACGAAAACCTCGAGGAAGGGGACTCTCCTGGGGGCTTGTGGCTTCCTAGCCCACCAGGCAGAGAAGTGCAACTTCAGAAATGGGCTCCCAGTGTCACTTGGGTGGGAAGCCAGTGGCCGACTGGAACGGAGGGTTTATTGGCCAAAGTGTGAAATCAAACAGTTGTTGTCAGTGGACAACACGAAGCCCCGTTCCTGTGGTCTGGGCCCTCTGCCATGGTGGTCTCTGCAGGGGCACCAGGGCCCTGAGGGGTGTGAATCTCCCCACCCAGGCTTCACTTCCCTTCTGGGGCCGTGACCCCAGGCTCCCTCCTGCCTCCTTCCTGGAGAGCTGAGGGTGACCAGGAGCCCAGGGCATGCCCAGGATGCACGGAGGCTGAGTCAGCCAACCTGGCAGTGCCCCTCAGAGCTGGGAAGCTGAGGCCTCAGGAACCGGGTTCTGGAGCCCCGCCCCATAGCCCTGCCCTTTCTGAGGAGGGAAAAAGCAGCTCCCAGGTGCTCAGCCCACAGGCACTGGGACCTGGAGCCCAAAGGACCAAGACAACAGACCACTGCAGTCACTGCTGCTGCCTGCCACCACTGCAGGTGGGTTCCCCCTGCCCGGGGGCTGGGGAGTGGGGCTCCTAGAGTTAGTGCTGGCTCTCCTGTAGGACCAATTAGCTGCGCCCCTCGATTCTGCACCCTATTCCCAGCACCATTGCTCGGCACTCCACTCAAAGAGGGGAGGACACCTGGAAGGGCTGCTGTGGCCACATGTAGCCCACCCTGTGCACACCCCTGACAAGCAGGTCTCACACACACACTGTGACGTCTCCGTGCCCAGAGATGCTGGCCCTGGGTGAGGCACGGCACCCTGCTTCTTGTGGGCTGGGCACTTGTCAGGTTGCAGGCTCTTGGGCACCCCGTCCCTCTCCACTAACTCTGTCTCCTCTCCAGATTCGCTCTCTGTGGCCAGCCACCCACCTGCCAGGCCACACCATGGACCCCCACGAGATGGTCGTCAAGAACCCCTATGCCCACATCGGCATCCCTCGAGCTCACCTGCGGCCTGATCTGGTGAAGCAGCTAGAGATGGCTCCCTGCTCGTCCTCTCAGATACAGCCTCTGCCCATGGGGCCCTGTGCCCCAGAGCCCACCCGCATTCTGCAGCCCATTGATGTCCCAGACCCCAAGGGGGCCAAGGGCGCCAAGGGGGCTGCCCCCCTCCAGGGCCAAGAGACTTGGCGGCATCCCAGCAACCCGTACGGCAGCGCCGCACGCCCGGCAGGACTGACCTACGCCGGCCTGCCACCTGCTGGGCGTGGTGACGACATCGCCCACCACTGCTGCTGCATCCCCTGTTGTTCCTGCTGCCACTGTCCCCGTTTCTGCCGCTGCCACAGCTGCTGCTGCGTTGTCTCCTAGCTGGCGTGGGACCTCCAGGGCCCCGCCGGGCGGGCCCCACATCTTAACTCCATCAGTGCCTGGACACTTGGAGTGGCCGCTGTCCCACCCTAGATAGGCAGCTACCCACCAGGATGGCTGTGGCTGGCTTGGGTCCCTGGAAATGGAGGCTTGGACCCAAGGACACCCATTGGCTGCCTTCTTCAAGCCAGGACCCAGACAATAAAGTGGGATGTCCTTGGTCCCCGTGTCTCTGCTCCTCTCTGCTGCTGCCCTCTCTGGATGCATCCTGGGCTGGATGGCAGCATAGCCCCCCACACACAGTACACAACCTCCAGGACAGTCCCACAGCCTCGGGGACATTCCAGGACAGGGTGGTGACTGCCTCATGACACACACTGCCTGCACTGCAGGTCCCAGCTCTGCCCAGAGGCCAAGCAGGGAAGGGTGGGGGGTGGGAGCCCTGTACTGCCTCGGGCCATGGCTAAGACTGACCAGGGGGCAGCCTCCATTGTGCAGGGACCTGGGGGTGTGCAGGAACCTGGGAGTGGGGACAAGTCAAGGGTGAGGAGGACCAGCCTGGCAGGAGGGTGGGTGGGGCTGGCACTGGCAGGTTTCAGGGAGGGGGAGCCAGAACCCAGCCTGCCCACCGGTGAGTCACCTCCCAACCTCAGCCAGGGTTTCTGTCTGGTTTCCCACGGAACATCTCATCCTGAACACCTGTCGTGGGCTGGCTGAGCAGTGCTGCTGGCCACGGTCCTGGCTCCAGGGACCCAAGTCGAAGGGTGACAGGCTGGGGGAGGTTGGGGATGTCTGTCTTGCCACCCCCACAGCTTAGGATGCCTTTCTGGCCACCACCAGTACAGTTCACACTCCAAGCTATTGACAGGGAGGCTGCTATGAGGCGAGCGCCCAGGCAGCCCTGGCGTTTCCGGACAGGGCAGTGGCAGGGAGGCGAACTGAGGCCGAGCTGGCCGTGCAGGACAAACAGGTCTGCGTGCCGACCCTCCCTCAGTCCCCAGTGACTTGGCAGTGCCGGGAGGTGGGTGTGTGGCGTGCAGAGGCCGGGGGCACAGGACAAGTTGTGTCATTACTTGCCATGTGCCTTACTGTGCAGGGCATGACTAGACGCCCTGTCCCTGCCCAGGGGACCCTGTATCCCAGGTGGCTGTCAGCAGGCCCCCACCTGTCCCTTTCCCGCCCAGTCACAGGAACCCGCCCTACCAGTCCGGAAGGGTGGACACCAAGGGGGCGGGCAGGAATCCTGAGGGGCCCTCCTGTGAGGGGCTCTGGGGCTAAGTGAGCTCTTGCCTTGATCCTTTCTGGCCCCACCTTGACCAGCCACCCGGCACACCACCTGGCAGGCCTGGTGGGACAGTGGAGAGAGGTGCCTGTTAGTGGGGGTTCTGGGGCCACATCGCCCGGGGAGCTGCTGAGGGTGGAGCCCACCTAGTGTGGGCATGGCATGCGAGGTTGGGGATTTGGACAGGTGGAGCTAACGCGCCTCTTGGGGGCCGTGCTGGGGTACTGCAACCAGAGGTGGGGACAGGGCACTAGCTGGGCCAGATGGAGGCGCTGGCTGAGAAATCACCCCCCCAATGCAATGGCCACACATGCTGACACGCTGAAGAGGACCAGGCCCTCACCGGCTGGGAGTCCTGGCGGACTTCCTGGAGGAGGTGAGACTCCAGCTGAAGAACAGCAATAACCAGGCCAAGGTGTAAAAGCTCTCCTGGGTGTGGGTGCTGGCGGTGGGGCCCCAGGAGAGAGGATGAGAGGGTGGTCTGCTAGTCTGGGTGAAGAAGTCGGTCCGAGAGAGGACTGGGTAGGCAGGACAGTGAGCCTGGGGGGAGTAGGTGGGCCCAGGAGAGCAGCAAAGCTAGGGTGGGGCCAGCAGAGCCTGGGGCATAGCATGGAGGGGGGTGGGTAGAGGGGGTGGGACGGGGGTGACCGGCACCTCATCTCCGGGAACTGCGTGTGGTACTGGGGGATCCAGTTGCATGCTTTGTGGCTGAAAGGGGAGCCCAGGACCGCCTGCAGTCCGCCACCTGCCTCCCTGCCTACTCGTCCACACTTAGGCCAGTAACGCGAGCCCCAAGGCAGCCGCAGGGCGCCCTGGGTCCCCGCCTCCCCAGCTGCCCTCTGGCCAGGATAAGCAGTCCAGCAGCGCATGTGCAGGTAAGAGAGGCCTGGAGTTTAGCCAGGTTGGGGGGGCGAGGTAGGCAAGAGGGGCTGCAGGGTGTCCCACAACTGGACAGGACTTAGGCCACTGGGACCTCGGGCACTGCTGTCCACCGGTCCCCTTGGCCTCCCCTCCCCCCCAGATCCGGTGGTGCCTGGCAGCTCCATGGTGCTGGGGAGGGGGGCACACCAGCACCCTGTCTAGACGGCCATGGAAAGGGCCATGCAGCCTCAGCCGGAACCTGTCCACACCACCCTGCACCCAGGATGCTGCAGCCCGAGAGTTCCCAGGCCCCTGAGGAGGCGGCCGCCAGCGCTGGGACCCGGAGGACAGACTGTGTCATCTGCTACTCAGCCTATGACCTGGCCAGGCACCTGCCCCGCCGCCTCTACTGCGGCCACACCTTCTGCCAGGCGTGTATTCGGCGGCTGGACACACTGGCCCAAGAGCAACATTGGATCCCCTGCCCACAGTGCCGCCAGAGCACACCCACACCCCGTGGAGGGGTAGCCACACTGGACCTCGACCTGGCTGCCTTCCTGGCGGTCAAGGCCGAGCGGGAGCCGGCGCGAGGGGAGCCCCAGCCGCCTGGGCCCCTCAAAGGTGGCATTCCCGTCATCACGCAGCAGCCGGCTGCCCTGTGCCCCGCCTTAGGCCCCCAGCCCCGCTTCCCGAGGCCCAGGCGATGCTGCTGCTGTTGCTGGGACCTCCCGGGCAGCCTGGAGGTCTGAGCTCTGACCACGGGCCCACTAGCGGCCAAAACGGCCGGAGTGCACTAGTGACCACCCAACCCCCGTACAGAACGCAGACCTGGGTCCAGCCCCATGGGGCTCAGCTTGGTGCCACCCCAGCCCTCAGGATCCCCAGGCCACAGCCTGCAGCCAGGGGGCTGCGGCCACAGTACGGCAAGACTCCATGGGGGGCTGGTGAGCAGGATTCCCAGACCCCCTGATGTGCACGTAGGACAGGAGCACGGCCATCAGACCCCACAAGGCCGGTCCAGGCCTGGACTCAGCGTGGCTGGGAGGACAGCTCCCTGACCTGTCTGCATGCGGGAGCAGCTGTCATCCCTGGGGGACACTAATCCAGTGATGGGACCCAGGGTGTGGGGCACCTCCCTCACTCTGGGAGACCATGTGTTTGCTGACTCAACAATGTTCTTTGAGCCTCACGCTGTGTCTGTGCATTCAGGGGGCAGTAGGGGCCCAGCTCATCATACTGGGGGTGATGGGCACATAGCCACCACTGCAGCCAGCGAGGCTCAGAGAGGGTCAGTGCCTGCCTGAGGCTGCACCGCTTGGCTGGGCCTGTTCCAAGCTGGATCCTTTCCTAGTCCCAAACGAAGTTTCCCTCTCACCTGCTGCCTCCCAATACAGGGCCTGCAGAGCCAGTGGCCATGGTGGCTGTGAATGCTGGCCACTAGCTAGGGCCCAGACACCTTGTCCCACCCAGGATGACGTCGTCTTCCAGCAGCCCCTGGGGGGGACCCTGGGCCTGCCCTGGGCAGTGGGTGGCAGAAGAGAGAGAGAGAATTTGCTGAGAGAACACTCAGGAGCCAATTCCTTCCCTGGGCAAAGTCCCCTAGGCATGGGGGCGCAGTGAGCAGGGTGCTGCGAGGGCAGGCCTTCTAGGAAGACTAGGCCTGAGGGGGAGGGGCCACCCCAGGAGGGCCCCAGGGCCAGGAAAGTGACTGACCCCAGGAAGGTCAGGGCTCAGCAGGGAGGGTTGGGCTAGGGCCGAAGAGAGGGGTGATACTCCCATGGGACCAGCCAGCAGAGGAGTGCTAGGAGCTCTGGCCATTCCTCAGGCTGGGACCGTCCACACGAGATCCCGTACTCCACCCAGCTGGGCAAAGGACTCCCCTCACCAATGCCTGAGTGGGAAGGACCACCATGAAGTTGGTGGAGCTCTCAGCACCAAAGGCTGACTTGCTGAGGGACCCCAAGGTCCCCAGCCACACACAAGCCACACATCTGTGCCTGAGTGGTGGGGACTATCTGGGTACATGGGTGTCCAGGCACCAAGGGCCAGCTGCCCAGCCTGGAACACCTCCTTCCCGGCTCCATGCCCACCTCTGATGGCCATGGAAGCTGGATTACCCTGTCAGCGAGGCAAGCACGAGCTTCTGAGGGCTTACTTACTTGTCTATAGTGGACAATTTCACAGTAGTTTCAGTATATCTGTCATTGTTCACTACAGACGAGTAAGTAAGCACCCAGAAGCCCTGCTTACCCTGCTTCCTGGGGACTCCGTCCCTGTGCCTTGGGGCCGGGCAGTGCCCCCATGGGGGCCTGGCTCGTGGGTAAATATTAATGGGCTCAGCACACAGCGGGTCATGTGTGTGCACCCGGTGAATCTTTGACCTCCAGCCGCTCCCGTGCTTCCATGGGCACCCCTCGCTAGCCACACAGGTAGGCACTTCTGGGGCCAGGGACACTGAAGGTAGGGCCAGGTAACCTGCAGGTCCAGGGCCGAGGCCCCATCCTGAGCTTCCAGCAGCCAAGGGCAAGAGAGAGGCCGGGGCACAGGCAGGAGGGAGGGTGACAGGAGAGACCCCTGGCATCACAGCCTGGGCTTGAGGAGTGGCCCAGCCCCAGAGGGCCAAGGGGAAGTCTCTGGGGTGGGTGGGGGCGCCCAAGCCCCTTCCCTGCCCATCCCTGGGGGTGTGGCCCTTATCTAGTGGAGCCGTCACTGCTTGGTATCAAATACCAAAGTCTAAGCTGGGACCATCTGCAATGTCCCCAGTGACACCTGATAGGAGAAGTCCCTGGGTTCCCTGGCTCCTGGAGGCTTCCAGCTCACACCTTAGCACCTGTGACCTCAGGCACCCGTGCTAGCCCTTCTTCCAGCCAAGACCAGCGAGGGAGCAGGGCCTCTTCAACTTGGCCCCTCACACTGGACAGGGCTCACCTGCCAGCCAGCAGAGGTCACTGCAGCCATCCCCCTGTGGAAGGTGGAGGGGCATCACCAAGGCCAGCTGGGCAGGGAGGGTGGTGGCTGAGGGCCTGCTTAGCCAAGGTGGGCCCAGGGTAAGGACTCTGTGGGCTCTCCCCCACAGACCTGGGCTTGGCTGGGGCTGTCCCTGCCCAGAATCCATGACAAGTCCACTTACTGGCAGCCGGGCCCCCCACCCCACTCTGGACACAGTTGGTCTGGTGGACCGGAATCTGGGGAATGCAGGTACCAGGGGCCTCAGTGTCCAAGCCTCAGCCTACCCCCACCCCTACCCTGATGGCCTACCCTGGAAATGGTCTCCTAGAGCCCACAGGGGCTCCTGAGGGCTCTTGTCAGGAGCCAGCAAGCTGGAGCCCCCTTTCCTTTCTGCTCTGGCACCCCCCAATACCCTTCCAGCCTCAACCCGGCTCTGCCCTGCTCCCCTTTGCCCCAGCCTGGGGTTCCCAGAAGCAGCTAGGGTCCTGCCCTACTTGACTGCCACCCCTGCAGGGGCCTCCACATCTGCCCTGGCCCTGGAGGACGGGGGCACAGACTCCTGGGCCCTCCCGCAGCCAAAGAACACTGGCCAGTCCTGGAGAGGTGTGTCTGCAGGTGGTGGGCGGGCATGTGGCTTAGTGTGAAGCAGGGCCTTGAAGGGGGACAAGTGCTCTGGAAAGTACAGCAGAGGGACCGCTCAGTTGGTCCTCTGGGCCCTCCTTGTCCTGGGACAGAGCAGGTCACCTGCCCAATGCACCCTCCTTCTCCTTCTGGGAGGCCTGGGGGCTGTTTGATAAGCCATTCTGCAGAGGGAAAGGAGAGGAGGCACCCCGGCCCTGACCTGGGGGACAGGGGAGGGGACCTAGGCCCTGCCACAGATGACAGAGGAGGGCACCCAGACCCTGGTAGCGTAGTACCCGAAGCATTTGACTGCTGACTAGAAGGCTGGCCCCTGACTGAGGACAGCCATGCCCTGTGCCACCAGAGCTCAGTGTGGCCAGTAGGGTGCGCCGGGTGGTCGTCAGCTTCCTCAAGACCTGCGGCATCCTGGGCAACCTCTACCTCTTCATCTGCTCCTTGGACATCCTCAGCTCCGCCTTCCAGCTGCTGGGCAGTGAGTGACCAGCCAGGGTGGGGGATGGGGGCGGCCCTCTGCAGCCTCAATGCTCCTCTCTCCTGGTCTCAGGCAAAGTGGCGGGAGACATCTTCAAGGACAACGTGGTACTGGCCAACCCCGTGGCCGGCCTGGTCATCGGCGTGCTGGTCACGGTCCTCGTGCAGAGCTCTAGCACCTCCTCTTCCATTGTGGTCAGCATGGTGGCCTCCAAGTGTGAGTGGCCCAGACCAGACAGGGTCAGCATGGTGGCCTCCAGCTGTGAGTGGCCCAGCCCCAGACAAGGAGTGGGGGGACAGACAGGGTGGAGCTGACATGGTGCTCCCACAGTGCTGACCGTCCAGGCATCAGTGCCCATCATCATGGGTGTTAACGTGGGCACGTCCATCACCAGCACCCTGGTCTCCATGATGCAGTCCGGCGACCGGGATGAGTTCCGAAGGTGAGGGGTGGGGCAGGAGGGCTGCCTGGGGCTGTGGGTGGCCTGGGCAGGCCCCTGAGCAGCTGCGCGTCCACCCACAGGGCCTTTGGTGGCTCCGCCGTGCATAGCATCTTCAACTGGCTCACGGTGCTGGTCCTGCTGCCGCTGGAGAGCGCGGCGGCCATGCTGCAGAGGCTCAGCGAGCTGGCCCTGGGCGCCACCAGCCTGCAGCCCGGGACGCGCGCGCCTGATATTCTCAAGGTGCTGACACAGCCACTCACCCACCTCATCATTCAGGTGAGGACACTGCTGTCCCACCATGTTGGAGGCGAGGGGCAAGGTGGGAGGCCCAGGCCCCCAGGGGGGAGGGGACAGGGGGCCATGCCCCACCCAGTGGGGAGGAAACAGAGGGGACCCGGCCCTGTCTGGAAAAAGGAGCTCTGGTGGCATAGTGCCTAAGGCTAACCAGAAAGCAGGCGGTTCAAACCCACCAGCCACTCCTCGGAAGGAAGGTTGGGCAATCTACTTCTGTAGTGATACGCCTCGGAAACCCAAGGAGGGGTCGCTATGAGTTGGGTCCAATCCATGGCACTGAGTTTGTTTTTTTTGTTTGTTTTTTGGTCCTTTCTGGGGTGGAGGAGACAGAGGGGACCTGACCCTGCCCGGGATGGAGGGCATAGAGGGAACCTGGCCCCACCTGGGATGTTGGGGGACAGGGGAGGAAAAGACCTGGGCCTGGAACTGGGTTGGAGGCGAGGGCAGCGCTGGATCCGGAGGGCGTCTGAGCGGCCTGCAAGTCTGAGGGTCCTGTACACAGTGCCCCACCCGCCCCCTCCCAGCTGGACCCTCACCTGGTCACGGGCAGTGCCATGGGCAACACCACCAACAGCAGTCTCATTAAGCGATGGTGCGGCACCAGGACACTGATGGTGAGGCACCTCTGACCCAGCTGCTGACCCTTGAGCCCTCTGACTGCCCGCCTGCCCACCCAGCCTGAGCTGGCCCTGCCTCCCCAGGCCACGGGGAACAACAGCGCCTGTGGAATGGCCCAGTGCCTTGAGAGGAATGGCACAGCCCCCGAGGAAAAGCTGCCCTGTGAGTCCCCCTCCACTTTCGCCCGCCCCACTGGCCCCGAGGCCCCGCTGACCGCCCACTGCCCTGCCCAGGCCACCACCTATTTGTGGGCACGGCCCTCACGGACCTGGCTGTGGGCCTCATCCTGTTGGCTGCTTCCCTGCTCGTGCTCTGCGTCTGCCTGGGCCTCATCGTGAAGCTGCTCAACTCGGTGCTACGAGGCCGCATTGCCCAGGCCGTGAGGACCATGATCAATGCCGGTGGGTGCAGGCGGCACGGCCGGGCGCAGGGTAGTGAGGGAGAACGCAGGGCCACGTAGGCCAGGCTGTGAAGGACCGTGAGCAGTGCCTGTGTGGGTGGCACGGCCAGGTGGGGTGGGGGAGAAAGCAGGGTCACGTACGCCAGGCCGTGAAGCACTGTGAACAGTGCTCGTGTGGCTGGCACGGCCACGGGCTCTGCAGGGTGGGGAGAACGCGGGGCCGCATATGCCAGGCTGTGAAGGCCCATGAGCAGTGCCCGTGTGGGTGCGGGCAGCATGGCCGGGCGGGGTGAGGGAGAACGCGGGGCCATGTAGGCCAAGCCTTGAGGGACCATGATCAATGCCCGTGTGGGTGGCACGGCCAGGTGTGGTTCAGGGTGGGGAGGGCATGGGGGCCACGTGGGCCAGGCCTCGAGGGACCTTAGTGCTTGTGTAGGTGGTATAGCCAGGTACGGGATGGGGGGGAAGGGCACGGCCCTACTGGTCTGGGGTGACCCGGCTGACCCCACCAGACTTCCCCTTCCCGTTCGGCTGGCTCAGTGGCTACCTGGCCATCCTGGTGGCCGCTGGCCTGACCTTCGTGGCCCAGAGCAGCAGTGTGTTCACAGCCGCCATCGTGCCGCTGATGGGTGAGCGCGGGGGCTCTGCTCTGCAGTGGCCACGGGAGGGTGGGGGCGAAGGGCCTTAGGATGGGCCACCCGGTAACCCCTGCTCCCCCAGGGGTTGGGGTGATCAGTTTGGAACGGGCCTACCCTCTCTTCCTGGGCTCCAACGTTGGCACCACCACAACGGCCCTGCTGGCTGCCCTGGCCAGCCCGTCCGACATGCTGCTCAGCGCCCTCCAGGTACAACCCCCAGTCACCCGGAGGCTGCTCCCAGTCCCCCTGGATGACTGCTGGCACCACCTGGGGCTTCCTCTTGGGCCCAGTCCGCTCTCCATGGACAGGAGTGGAGTAGGCTGCCCCAGGGCCCCTGACCGACCAAGGCTAAACTCTCCCAGGCCCCACCTCCAGCCGCCACTCAGACCTGCAGTCCCACCTCCTCAGACACTGGCCAGGGCCTCCCTCTTGTACCCCTCTGTGAGTGCTCTGACAGATTGGTCTCCTGCAACCTGGACGGGCCTGGGCAGCTTCCTGGCATTGTCCTCAAGAGGAGATGAGCCCACTCTCCCAACTCCAGCCTTGGCCCTTGCCTCTGCCCATCTCTGCCAGCTCCACTTCCTCCAGGAAGCCCTCCTGACTCTGCCCACCTCCGACTCCTCCCATGGGCTCTGGGTTCCCTCCCCGTGTGCTTGTCCTCCCAACACAAACCTAGGCCAGGGCAAGGCTGGGCAGAAACCTCCCTCGGAGGAGAAAGCATGAGGGGGTCCCCCAGGTGTGGGGCACAGTCAGTGCTGAGTCAGGGTGGACAAGGTTGGAACCACAGCAGTGGGGCACGACAGACTTGGGGCCCTGGGCTCTGCGGCAGCGGGCAGGAGTGCTGGCAGTGCAGGGTGGCCCTGCCTCACCAGGCTTGGCTCCTGACCTGTCCCTCACCTGCCAGGTGGCCCTCATCCACTTCTTCTTCAACGTGGCTGGCATCCTGCTGTGGTACGTGGTGCCCGCCCTGCGGCTGCCCATCCCAATAGCCAAGCGCTTCGGGGACGTGACCGCCCGCTACCGCTGGGTGGCCGTTGCCTACCTGCTGCTCAGCTTCTTGCTGCTGCCCCTGGCGGCCTTTGGGCTCTCGCTGGCGGGCAGCACCGTGCTGGCCGCGGTCGGGGGGCCCCTGGTGGGGCTGCTGCTCCTGGCTTTCCTTGTCAATGTTCTGCAGCGACGCCGGCCGGCCTGGCTGCCCCACCCCCTGCGGACATGGGCCTGGCTGCCCTCCTGGCTACACTCCCTGGAGCCCTGGGACCGCCTGGTCACCCGATGCTGTCCTTGCCGGTCCTGCAGCACCCCTCAAGCTGTCACCAAGGAGGCTCACTGCTACGAGAACCCAGAGGTCTTGGCCTCCCAGTATCTGTGAGAGGCAGACACTACAACACCCTACCCCCACTGGCCTGAGGGGGGTGTCCCTGAGCCAAGGAGTTGAGTCAACCTGCCTCCTGTTTGGAAATACAGAGTGGGCATCGACAAAGTGGCAGTGGGTTTGCTTTTTGGATAGATGACCCAGGTGGAGTGGTCATCTCTGCCTACCGTGGGGCAGGGGGACTGTCTGGGGAGAGTCTCCTGGGCCTGGCTTCTTGGATGGTGACCATGGAGCACGCTGGTGCTGCTCCCTAGTGGACACTTGGGGAATGACGGGGAGCCAACGTGGGGAGTGGGCTGCCCCAGAGGTGCAGGGACAGAAGTGACCACCCAAGCTGCAGTCTGTAACTGTGTTTGCCTCCACGGCCACTGGGGTCAGAGAACGCAAACTAACGGCCAGTCTGGAGGGCAGAGACTTCTTGAAGCATGACGCTGTGGGGAAGGAGGCGGGCAGGCCGGGCCCCTCGCGGCAGGGTGCAGGTGGCGGGAGGCCGTGGAGCTGGAGGAAACCTAGCCTCCCACCCGTGCAGGAGGTGAGGTGGGAGACCTGCTCCCACCCACCGTGCCCTCCCAAGCAGCTGGGGCTCTCCGAGGGCCAAGGCCAGGACACAGAGACCCCTCTACCCAGCCACCCCACTTGTAGTGGTCCGCTTGCAGGCCAGCACGGACTGAGGCCTTAAGTCCTGCCAGGTATGGGTGGGGGGAGGTGAGGAGGGGACTGGAGAGGTCGGTGAGGGTGAGGTCGTCCCCTCTGGTTTGGTCCTCTCTCTAGCACCCTTGTGTGCGGGACTCCAGGAACCTGTCCCAGGCTGTAGGGGGTTGCCGAAGGTGGGCAGTGGGCAGACTGGGGATAGGCTTTGCCAGGCACACCTTGCCTGTGCCTGCCTGGGCCACCAGGGGGCGCCACTCAGCTCAGCTACTGACACCTACCAGAAGCCAGTCTTTGCTTACCAGCTGCCGAAGCTACACCTCATGCCCTGAGCCCCTGTGCAAACTTCCCTCCAAGTCCGAGGTACCTCCCGAGACCCTGCACCTGGCGGTGCACCTGCCCAGACATACCCCCAGAGCAGGCGGGCCCATGGAGAGGGAGGGCCCGGCTGGCCGTCTAGGCCCGGTGCCCTGTCCCCAAGCTTGGGTTTCCACAGGAAGCCTTGTCTGCAGCCGCAGGTAATCGGACACCAGGGAGCGTCAGCCACAGCCTCCTTGCCCAGGGCTGCTCACATCCTAGCCTGAGTCCCGGCCTCCCCCACAGCAGGGAGCTTTGAGTAAATTAACCCGCTCCTTCAGCAGGGCGTGTGCACAGACAGATGGACAGACTGGCCCTCCCTCAGGGCCTATCTGGCTGGTACATTTCTGGAATTCGCTGCTGTGGCCCAAAGCCGCATGGGCGCACGCAGGGCCACCCACTGCCCTGTAGAGGGAGGGCTACCTCTGTTCCTGTCCTCTCACCCCTGCAGAAGGAGCTGGTCAAGGTGACCAGGGCCATTTTTTGCCAAATTATACTCCACCTTGGATCCCCTCAGGTGCCCCAAGTCTCCTCCAGTGCCCCCCACTCTGCCTACACCCCCTCTTGCAAAGGCCTCCAGGACCTGGAGTTGCCTGGTCAACTAGGGGCTCTGGGAACTGCCAAGTGCTCCCAACAGGCTCCATTCAGAGCCAGGGCCCAATGACCAGCTCTTCATCCTGGTTTTAAGCCTGCCCACTGGCCTCAGGATACTCTCTGCCATCCCCTGGGGAGGGGCTGAGCCTGGCCAGTGCCCTGGGGAGGGTGAGGGGGCCGGGGGAAGCGGTGAGGCCCTCGTGGAGGGGGTAAAGGTGCCCTGCACACCTCCGGGGGCAAGCGAGGCTGCCCACAAAGGCTGACCGCAGGGTCCTTTGAGGTAGAGGAAAAGCACCCTCCCGCTGGGACCACAGCGCTCAGTAAACAGAGCGTCCTTGAGGGCTCCTCCAGCAGCTGCAAGCTCGATGGGAGGGGCTGGCGGGCGCTCCCACGGCCAGACTCGATCCAGGGCACTCCTGCCTGGGCTAACCAGCAAGTGCATGGCCACAGACCCCTACCGGGCCCAGGCCCCAGGGCTGCCATCTCTCCAGACCGGGGCCCTCGGGGCTCTGAGTGGGGAACCGGAGCCTCCATGCTGCAGCCATAGGCTCTGTGTCTGGCCCCCAGCAACATCACCCCACGGGGGCAGCGTGGAAAGAGTGACACCTGGTCTGTGGAGGACCCCGAGAGTTGCTCCCCAGCCTCTGTGTGCCACCTGCAAAGCAGGGACAACATGCTGACCTCACAGCCCCAAGGGGACCGGTCCCAGCTAACAATGGCTTTTTCTAGTACTGGGTTCTCCATGCGCACAGCCCAAGGGGGCACGGAAGTCTTTGAAAAGAGACAGGAATGGGGGCTCTGAACACCCCAAGAGCGACCCCAGCAGGGCTGGGGAAGAAATCGGAGCTTCACCCCCCCACACACACACACACACATCAGGATTTTGTGACAACTTGGTGACCTGGCTACCGCTTGGGCAGCTAAGCCACTTTGCAGTCAAGTCAGGAGAGGCTGTGGACACTGTGAGGACCCCAGAGGGACTGGGGTGACCCAATGCACCCCCCAGTGGTCGTGTTTTGTTGCCGGTGGCCCAGAGAAGCCAGACCTGCCTTCCTGAGCCAGCCAGCGTGGATGGACTGGTCCCTTGGCCCTGCATGCCTGTGCAGCACGATGACAGGCTGACACAGCCCAGGCCAGGATATCAAGACCCAGGGTGAGCACGGCGGCAGACCCCTCTCAGTGATCAGAAACACCAGCCTCCACGCTGGGCTGCTGCTCCCCGGAACCTGACCCACAGGCAGAACCACCCAGGCTGCCCTTGAGTCTAAAGAAGGGAAAGGTCCGCCTGAGGAAGGGACAACTAAGGTGACAGGTATCGGCCCCCACGCCCTGAGCTGGGAGGCCGAGGAGATAAGAAGTTTAGGAAAGTCAAGTAAGAGACCTCCCTGGGCACCCCACACCCCTGCCCACGGCCCCAGTTCTAAACTACGAAATACAGCAGCAACATGGAGTTTTATAAAAGTGATCCACTAAAGGTGCAACCGCGTGTAACTGAACTGTTATTCCTTTACAAGTCCCCCCTGGGCCTCCAGATATAAAATAAAAGCCCTCGTTGGCCCGGGCGTGCTGAAGCGCGGCGGGGGCTGAGCCACGGAGCCTGGAAACCCACGCCATGTTCACCAAGGGAGGCCACGTGCCCTGACCCCGCCCTGGTCTCCAGGCAGCCTAGGGCACTGCTGGGGCACAGGTACCAAGGCGACCGGCACTGGGCCAGCGTCTCTACAAACACAGCCCAAACGGCTGCCAGGGGCAGGGCCCCCGGCCACAGAAGGAACAGCGCGTCTGACTCGCTCCTGGGCAGCAACAGGGAGGAGGAGGCAGCGGCCGCCCCTCGGCCAGGCCCCAGGCCCTCCACACCCATGGGCACCGGGCCTTCAGAGGCAGCTGGCCAAGCAGGGACCAGTCTGCGCTCCAGGTGCACCTGGCGCCTGACTGCGAGGGGTGCGGGGCGCGGGAAGGGGGCAGGAAGCCTCCCTCGTACCCCCACTGGTCTCTGCTGTTAGACGTACCAAGCTGAAATCAGACCACTGAGCCTAGCCCACCTCACAGTGACCCCACTGGGATTCCAAGGCGGTTAAATGTTTATGGAAGCAGATTGCCTCCAATTCCTCTTGCAGAGCAGCTGGTGGGTTTGAACCGCTGACCTGGTTAGCAGCCCAATGCCTTGCCCACTACACCACCAGAGTTCCTATGAGGGGTGCAGGGAGAGAAAACTGTCCCCGCACGCCTGTCTCAGCGTCACAGCCCCTTCGGCACCTGCGCCCTGTTGGTTTTTTGAGGGTTAGTAAGCAACGCGCCACCCTCTGCTTGGAGGCCTCCAGGGACTCGCCCGCACGAGGACCACTTCGGGGTGGCCCCAGCCCAGCAGACTCTCCGTCCCGAACCCCACCGCCCCCAGCTCCCAGGGCCCGCACACAGCGTAGACACCGTTGGCCCACGCGTCCCGGTTCGGCGCCGACCAGAGGCAGCAGTCCTCGAGAAGGCGCACATGCCCCGCCCGGGGGCGCCCTAACTCGCCCCCAGAAGCCGGCGCGGCGAGCGCTCGCTCCACGACGCCTCACTCGGGGCTGCAGTGACGCGCTCCAATGCGCGCGCACGCGGGGCCCGGCCAGGCCGCCGCTCCGGGCGCAGAGCGCCTCCCTCCCTCCTCGTGTCTGCCAGGCCTGGACCCTCCTCAGCCTCCGCCCCTGGTCCGGGCCCGCCACGGCCCCTCTGGGCCTGTGCTCGTCCGAGCCGTCTGGCGTTGGCCGTGTCACCCACCGCTCGGGCAGAAGCCCGCGCTCGAGTAAGAGCGCGCGCGCCCGGGGCCCGCGCCCGCCCTTCCGCGGTAGGCTCCCGCTGCACTGCGGCGGTTACCAGGACGCTAATCTGGCTCGCCCAATAGCAGCAGCCGGTCGGCGTGCTCTCCGGAGCCAGCCAGTGAGAGCACAAATCAATCATTTGAAACACCCAATGAGCAGAGCACTGCGGCGCGAGGGAGGGGATTCTGATAGGGAGAGCCGAGGCCTGGGCTGGCCAATAAAGAGCTCCTGGCTTTGGGAAGGCGGGCCTTAGGTGTCTCGATGGACGGAGAAGCAGCCAATCAATCGAGGCCGCTTGCTAGCCTCGTTGTGGTAGCCCAGTAAGAGGCTGGCGGGGGCGGGCGCCGCGAATATATAAGGAGTCGCCGGGCGTCGGTTGTAGCAGTCTGCGCGCCCGATCTTCCGGTTCCCGTCTTCGTCCTGAGGCCCGTGCCACCGTCGCCGCCATGAGAGAGATCGTGCACCTGCAGGCCGGGCAATGCGGAAACCAGATCGGCGCCAAGGTGGGCGGCGGGGTGCGGGAGGGGCGCTGGCGCCGCACCGGCGGGC